CCTATCGCGCTTGTATTCAATCTCTTTATGCCAGCCGTCCTTCATCTCCAGACAGTACAAATATCTTCAAGCCTTACGGAGCACGGCCTACTAAAGTGACCTACAGTTCTTATTTAGAGCTTTTTGGCAGGTTTAGGGTTCAGGGCAAACCCTAGATTCCAGATCTTCAGCCCAGTTCTCCAGTCCGTATTCAGCGAAGAAAACACACCAGGATGTTTCTGGCATCCAGGATGAAACCACTATTCAAACAGATAAACCAGAACTCTTCAGCTTGTAAGCATTGAAAACATTCTGATCCAGGACCCTCTTTGTGCCCTTGAGTATAGGGGCCCTGAAAGTAGGTATTTCGGGTCTAGTAAGGGGCACATGGTGGGCTATGATGAATTAAGGCAGTTCGGTCCACGCTGACCCCCAAACCCCTACACCCTTAACCCTAAACCCCAGACCCCTAAACCCCTAAACCCCTAAACCCCTAAACCCCAAACCCTAAACCCCTAAACCCTGGACCCCTAAACCCTAGACCCCTAAACCCCTAAACCCTAAGGCCTAATTCAGTTCGGTCCCAGCCACACAAGAGGGTAGAGGTCGAGATCGTCGGGCACCTGGATGTCCCAGTCAGCAGCGATTTTGCCGTCGAGCAGAACTTGGAACTTGCCTCTGATCTGGAGCATCGGCTCGGCAGTGGATTTAGGGTTTAGGGTGTAGGGCTTAGAATTTGCATTGTGGCAGCAAGTAGAAATTTTACGGTTTCAGCTTGCAGGGGTTTCAGGATATGAGTTCTGTTTTTTTACGGTGTTTGAGCTCATGGCTTAGGCTATAGGGCTTGGGTTTAGGGCCCAGGGTTTAGGGCATCAGCTGAAGGCAAATTCCCAGAACGCCAAAGAACGGATCCCCTGACAGCCAGGCATTTAGTTAAACTGGAAATATTCGCAAAGGACACCCAAGAGGAATCGAACTGAAGCTGGATCCCTGAACCGTAGAAGACCCCCCTCGTATATAGAGACTCTTAGCCGCAACCCCAAAACCTTCTGAACCCATGGTCTCAAGCATGCAAGCCAAAAAAGGCCGCACAAGCTCAACATGCAGCCTAGCTCTGCATGTTTTTTGGCTACTTCTTCGCGACGGGAATCCATGGATACATGTACTAATACAACTTTAGCGGCCTTCTGTGTTTGGGGACTTTCGACTTAAGGTGACTACTAGAAGCCCCCAGCCGGTTCCTGAAAAAGCTCTGCACAAGAAAATACGGCGTAGTGATGTAAATCTATGAAACATGTAGGTTTGTGGCTCCGTGGGAAAGACGAACGATTGAACATTTCGGCAAATGACATCATGAGCTCAGAATAGTGTTTGGGTTTCCGTGTGTCGAAGGCTGCAGCGTTTACCACAGGGCTTGAGGTATACTGCATGCTCTTTTCTTTTCTATTGTAAGGTTACAATCATGAACATGATCAAGTGAGCTGTGATATAGTGTGCCGATTTCAACAAGGCACCATTCTTGCAGAGGACGTCCACGATGGTGCCGTTGGGGAGGAGTCTGTGCCTTCGCTCTGTCTGTCTATGCTCTAAACCCAGACCGCCGGGAGGATCTAAACGGTAGATTCCCTAATGTCGGACCCAGTTATGTACTGCTAAAGGGTACTTTGTAGGAACTCCCTTAAGGACCTACTTTTCGGATCCTCCGACGGGTCTGGGAAGGTTTCAGTCCTACAGTAGACTGACTAACTATGTCACTTTCACGCCATGCACCCTCTGACACCCCATCTTTGCCTGCTTTTTGCTCAGATGGCTATTTTTCACAATCATGAAACGGTGAAAACAATGCAAACTGTGCTCTGAATGTCCCCAAAGGGAACTCAAAATAAGAGCAACCGAATCATGCGGAGAACACGCGCGATACACTGAATTGCAACTACTTGGCAGACTTTGCAAACTCAGGCTAATGCGGTAAGCCACGACGCATGCATCGAACAATGAACTGTGCCTGCCGAGACTAGAGAGAGGCTCTAGACGTATCCGAAGCTTCAGGCATGAATCAATGACGTAGCTGCCTGCGGTACGTGGTGTAAATGCCTTAGATAGGTCACCTTCAACTCGACCCTAGCCCCGAAGCCCTAACGCTTGAATCATCAACCCTGAAGCCCTAAGCCTAAACGAAACAAGCCCCAAACCCGGCCGCAAATTTCTAACCCTGAAGCCCTCACGTCAACAAGTCGAGGGACCGCCACGGAAGCAGCTCGGTCATCTCCTATCGGGCACACTTTGTGCTTCTTAACAGATTTGTACTGGACTTTGAAGTAACCAGGGAGATAAAAAGTGTAAACATGCATGTTTATCACGCCCACTCATCGAGGTTCGGGTTTGTGAGGGCTTCCTGCAACTCGGTCTCGGGCTGCATTCTTCGATGCCCATCTAGGGTAAACATAGGGCCGAGCGCGAGGACCTGGAGGGTAGAAGGCCACTACGGCAACTACTTTATCCCTGCTGGTCAGTGCTAGTTGTGCGCACACTTAACTGGTGCGCATAGTCTATATGAACCCAGGAACCTCCCAGTACAAGGGCAATATGGCTTAGGGTAGCTATGGGCGGTGGGCTCAACAGAAACCCTGCGCCCTAAGACCGACACCTTTTCGGCAGCTCTCTAAATTTGGGTCCCTTTTAGGATCCTTTTAGGAGTGCCGTACTATGAGTGGTCCCTAATTTAGAGAACTACCCTTATAGAGTTTCGCAGATCCCCCTAGCGAAACGGTTCCACCCACAAAGGGAACAAACGCCAAGAACCGAGTTGCTTTGAGGTCTAGGTTGCGTACTCCCCCCTAAAGAACCCTAATATCAAGCCCAGAAACCGCTAAACCCAGAAACCCCTGCAAAACCCCATAACCCCTAAACCTTGAAGGCCCTGAACCCCACACTACCTAACCGTGACCTAACCCTTTGCCTTCAATTTTAGCAGTCCTCTCCCAGTACCACGAGCCGCCCTGAGGCATCCGAGACCTGCCCGAGGCACTGAAGGATCTAAGGCTCCAAGTGCTTTTAGAGAATAGGGGTTTAGGGCTTTGGGCTAGGGTTTAGGGTTTGGGGTTTAGGGCTTTGGGCTCGTTTCGGCTGGATGCTTGTTTTAAGCATTTGTTTATCGGCATTGATGCATCTCCTGTAGAGTTTTGCAGTTCTTGGGATAGGGTTCTGATGGGGTACGACAGGGTCTTGGTCTCTACCCATAGGCCCCTAAGCAGTTCCTTTTTGGGATTACCTTATAGAAGTCTTAAATATGAACCATAAAAAGGAACTACTTAGGGGCCTATGGGTAGGGGTTTAGGGGTTTAGTTAGTCAAGGCTTCTGGAAGCTCCGGCTTCGGGCTTATAGTGTTAGGACTTGGGGATTCGCCTCTAGGGATGAGGCGGGCTTTAGGATGCTTTACGCCTTTGTGTATACGGCTTTGGGACGCAAGGGCTTCTGTAGCTTGAAGCTCGTTTTATTGTTGGGCACTTAAGTTGACTACCTCAGAGCTCTTGTGGCACATCTGCTGGCACTACCAGTGTTCCCTTCCGGAATAACGGGAGAAAAGCAACCCAAACTGTTGGAAACCGAGACGTGTCCCAAAACAAACAGTTGATGAGGAAAGACACAGCACAAATGCTGTCCATGTCTGCTGTCTTCATACTGCATTTCGGATGTTCGCAGAACCTGTAGCCCCGAGACCCTGAAATCCCAAACCCCAGAACCCAACAACCCTTCAGAAATCTTGTTTTAACCCCCCCCCCTCCCAACACTCTTCGTCTCGTGATTCCGCTTTAAAGCTCAGCATTTCAGCCCAAGCGGCGTAAGCGCAAGGCAGCTCCCTCGCAGTCTCTGGCAGCGGCTGCGGCAGCTCCTCGCCATGCCGGGACGTGGATTTCAGAAGGCCTTCCTGCGGGCTTTGTCGGGTTGCAAGCCTATATAACCAAAAAAAGGCTCTGGAAGTCCAGCGGAGGTATCGGAGAGTCCTTTGTAGTCTCGGGTTTCTAGGGCTTGAGAGACTTCGGCTCTGGGCTACGGTTTCAGGTTTAAGGTTTAGGGCCGTTTAGGTTTTAGTGTTTAAAGTGTGGGCTTGAGAATTAGACCCTATAGACCCTCTATAAACCCTGAGCCGGCTCGAAGCCTTGTGGATGCATGGGCTGGCGTGAGAGCCTCTGTGCCTCCCTGCATGCCCTGAGGTGCAGATGGATTAACATTTTTGGGTTTATAAGGTACTGCGATCATAATAGGGATCGAACCCGAAAGTGGTATTGTAACTATCTGGGCCCCCAACATCATCTTGTTGTGACACTCCTGTGCGGAAGAAGCAGAAGTTGCATCCATGTCCTTACGCAACACAACCAGCATTAAGTCACCAAGCTCTACATAAAACTGCCTCAATGTTAGCGAATATGCAGCTGTCCTCGGGTGGGCAGCTGACAAAGCCGGCCTCAAATCCTTGCAGTGGTGGTGGGTTAAGGGCACAGAGGCTGTGCGGGTTTAGGGTTCAGGGCCCAGGACTGCCCTGGACTCTAAACCAAAGCGAGACGGTCTGGCCTGTAGAGGGAAGCTGGGGAATCCTGGAATTTTCCTGCCTGACATGAACCTGATAAGAAGAATCCTGCTGCTTTGCGTTCATGCTCCAGTCTGACTCTTCTGGTCCTTCTCTCATACTCACAACAAGTACCGAACAAATCTCAGCTGCTCAATTGAACTTTCAAGCCCGGACGCATCCCACACCCTGAAGTCCTGGCAACTAATTATAAATTCAATACTTCTAAGTCACTGAATGAGTCCTGACTGGGGCGTGCCGGTGTGGGTTCACAAAATGAGGGACCCCTCCTCCGCCCTAATATACACTTGAAAGCAGGATCCTTAACCAGCATTGCCCCCTTGTTCATTGGGAACCCCCCGGTAACAACCTCCAACCTCATAAAGCCGTAAACCCCTACCCTATCCTACCCTAAACGCTAAACCCGAAACCCTGAACCCTAAACCAGAAACCCTAAACCCTGAACCCTAAACCTGAAACCCTAATCGGGCAGCCTCCTTTGAAGACCGAGCCGTTGTCCAAGACTTCAAACCTTCCGGGATTCTGCTTAGAGCTTAGGGTTTGGAGCTCATTCTTAGGATGAAATTCGCCGAATCTCATGGGAACAGGGTTCGGTTCAAGGATTTCGTTGTAAGGCTACGCCAACGCGAGGTATCAGTGAAGCAGCAGATCCAATGCCAAAAGTCGGTCATGCTTTCCCCGCGTACCAGGAATAGCCAAATCACAAGACGTAACACTAAAGGCTGAATGTAACACTTGCTCTAAAGTTACGCACTCTGGGCATCCCTGCCGAAACTCGCGGGAAACGCCCGACGAGACGACAACAGCATGTCCCGGTGGAAACTCAGCCGTCTCTCCTTGAGGACTCAGGACTTTATGGTTTCAGCGGTTCGGTTTTCATGCATTTGGGCCTTTGTGTAGCACTCTAAGCTTCGCTTCAAGGTTTAGGCTTTTACGGTTTTAGGGCTTCGGGCTTGCATGTAGGGATTTCTAGGCTGATAGTGGGCCTGCTCTCAAATTTCAATGCCCGTTACATACTAATTCAAAATGAACCCCCCAAGTCCAAAACCCTAAACCCCTAAACCCCAAACTCCTAAACCCCTAAAACCCCTAACCTAAATCCTCCCTAAAGCTTCCGACCTGGACTTTCAACATGCGTTTGCGTGAGCGTCGGGGAGGGGGTTGGGGGTGAAGCTACTACGGTTTAGGGTTTAGGGCGTTGGGTTTAGGGTGGGGATTTTGGTAGCCGGGCTCACAGGGAGACATGATCCGGATTTAGGTGAGCTCCTGCTTTAGGCCTTAGCAAGCATGTAGGATTCATAGGGTTCAGCCGATGTCCAGCCCTAGATCCGGACTATGATTGAAACAAAAAGGCTTTATCTACTGGTACCCTCAGCTCCCACCCTGGGCCAAAGGCACATCATCTAAGTCCTGATGCCCGAACCCCTTCCAGAACCACTCTAAACCGTTAAGTATCACCCACTTACGAAGCCGTACAGCAACAAAGCCGTAAGCCTAAGAGGCCGCACTCAAAATCCGGTGTACGGCCCATGTGAGGCCCCTATACATAAGCAAAACCTCGGCCACGTCGCCACTTCCTCGAGTGCGCTTGACGGTGAGGCGGTCTTGTTGGATCGCCGCATTCCTGAATGTCAGAGAACTGAGAGCGACTCCCGAAGCTCCTTAACTATTTTTTGTGGGCCCTTTTCTAAAGGGTTTAGGGTTTAGGGTTTAGGACATAGGGTTAACAATAATTAGTTTATAAGATCTTATTGGTGTTTTGTAGAGGCTTCGATTAAAATGCCAAAGACCCGCTGCTTTTTGTACGGAACCTTGCTTCATTAAGGGGCTTTGGAGTCATAACCGAGAGCGTCAGGGCTGCCCGAGCTTTTGCTGTTGTACTTTTTGTGTTTTTTGATTTAATAGGGTTTAGGGGCTTAGGCTTAGGGTTTAGGGTTGGTTGCCTGTCAGGTGACCACCTGCAGACGGGTTCTAAAGAACAACGTGCTGTTAGAAATGCTCTTCAGCTTTTTTTCAATCCGTGGTGATTACCCATGCACCTTCAAGCACAATACCGCAGCTCGAGCAGAGTGCGTGAACGACAGGGGAAATTGGAAAGCAAAGCATAAATAGTTGGAGTTCTTTGATGGTAAGCGACATGGGGATAACTTGCTTGCACCCCTCCTCCAGCTAACTAAGTTATAGCGTGCAGCTGGAAAGAGCGCAGTGTCTACACACATATCTGGCTATCTGTATAATGCATGTATGTATGCATGAATGGGCGTATGTGTATACGTGTACTTTACAATATAAATGTATGATTACGATTACAGTTGAAAACGTAGAAGCGCCCCAAATAACAACGCACAAGTGTTTGGCAATGCCTTATCATGTGTAAGTACATACTTGCGTGCGTGTATATATATATATACACATACACATGTAGGTATATGCACATAAAACTGTACACATATACACAGTCACCTACCTACCTACCTACCTACCTACCTACCTACCTACCTCCCTACATGCCCTTACATACACACACACACAAATATACATGTAGATGTATGTATGTATATATATATATATTTATATGTATAGAGATACACGTACAAATAGTTTATGCGAAAAAAACAAACAGATCCCCGATCCACGCATAGCACAGCCAGGGCTCCGTCCCTTGTATATGCCGTTCCAGGACACTCCTGTCTGAAGAAACCTGAATCTGCAAGGGGTTAGGGCTTGAGGCACTACTTGGGTTTGTAGGGTTTGGGCCTCAGCGGAAATTTGGGATTTGTTGTTTTTTGGGTGTTTCGTTGGGTTGGGGGGTTCGGGGCCTTCGCTCCGATCGGTCGGTCTTCATGTTGTAAATAGGAGGATACGCAGCACTCCCCCTCCCCCCCCCAAAAAAAAAAAATATATATATANNTATATATATGTATATATATAAATAAAAAATCGACTTTCTGGATCCCCGCAGGCTTGAAGCTAAAGAACGCCGTTCTGCTTAAGCGGGTTTAGGATGGAGGAACCCTAACCCCTAAACCCTGAAAGCCGATGGAAGAGTCCAGGGCGCTCGAGGTAGGGCTTCACGTGCAGAACTCCGTAGAACTCCAGTGAGACAGTCTGAGACCCAAGCCCTTCTCACGTTTTAGGTCCAAGGTTCATGGTTTGGGTTTGTTAGGATTTAGGGTTTAGGGTTGTCCAAGGTTCGTTGCTTGGGTTTGTTAGGGTTTAAGGTTTAGGGTTGTCCAAGGCTCATGGTTTGGGTTTGTAAGGTTTAGGGTCCAGAGTTTGGCATAAGATAGTCTCAACATCTTGGCACAACAAAGCTCCGGCAGCTGCATCAACTACTTTTTTTTCCGGGTGTGTCGGCGGTCCTACTCAGATTCGATGCAGCATCCTCAACTCTTGAACTAAACCAAACCTTGAAACTCCAGACTCTGACTTCGCAGAGTCCGCTACAATCCCAAACCCTGCAAGCCCCTGGCCCCAATTCAAACGGGCAGGAGACACGCTGCTTAGTTGGAGCCTGCCGTTCGGACGCCGAAGAAAACAAAGGAATCTTCCACCTCTAAGAAGCAAAACACTCCGCACAGTACTTGGAGCAACTCCTGCATCTCCCTTGCCTGACCGACCGCAGCAAGCCAGGCTATAACACCCTATGAACCCCAAACAACCTCAAGCTCAACGCGAAACATTTAAACCTTTTACCTCTAAACCCTAAATCCTAACCCCTGAAACTGCAATCCCCGAGTCCGAACAGGCGGCTGGTTTCGCAGCTGCCAGTGGGCAGAGTTAAAGATCCAATGCAGAAACCTCGGCATCAAAGAGCTGGGAGTACTCTAGGGTTTAGGCTAGAAAAGTTAGGGTTTAGGGTTTAGGGTTATACACTCCAAGGTTTGTGCATTGTGCTGGTTACAGCCACTCTGCTACAATTCTTGCTCCTGTGACTCTACACGCTCGTAAAGCGATGAATAATTTTTGAATCTCGCGATGGCTGATGGTTCTTTCGGCCTGTAGGTTTTGTAGAGTTTAGGCTTTCAAGCTTGCAGCTTCAGCAATAAACGGCCCTAGTTCGGAAAGCGCACAGAAACCCTGAAGGAGTAACAGGGAAGGGGATGTCTCATGGCAAAGGACTGAGACTTGCACCAAGGTCCATGAATAGTTCTGACCAAGATGTCCAGAGGCCATCATCATCCCAATGCTTTGTTAACCGTGGGGGCTAGGACTGTAGCTTCAGCCCCGACTGACTTGATGTTGATACTCGACGATAAAGCTTTTGTCCGAGGCCATTAGAGTTGTGTTTTGCACAAGGATTCACAATTCTGGGGTCCTCTGGGAGAAAGCAGCGGCCGACGCCACGGCTTTCGAAATCTAGAATTTAGGAGTTTAACACCTACATCTTCTAGTGCCTGTTCCGTGCCTGTTCTCCGTTTCGTACAACTGAAAGCCAGCTTTCCGACCCTCACCATTGCTACATCACAAAACCAGGCAGCACGTATTCAGGCTCGAAGGGTATCGAAGCGGATACCACTTACAACCTATTCACACTAAGACCATCTAAGACCGCTAAACCCTAACATCAAAGCCCTAACCCTGGATTACTACAACCTTAACCCCCAACAGTTGCAATTTATTCTAAAGCCAGCTCCAACCCTTAGCTCCACAACCCTTGACTCAAACGGAGACTAAACGAATCCTTACACACACTTCCAATGTGTTACGAGAGACTCGGCATAGTCCAAGCACTTGTCGTGACTCATGTCCTAGGCTTGCGGCTTAGGGCTTTGAGGCTTTGGTTTTTGTTGGGGCGTTGGCTTGGGCGTTGGGAGCTTATGGTTTTGGCTTGAGGCTTTAAGGGTCTGGTCTGTGGGAGTTTTGGGTCTTGGCTTGCGGCCTCAAGGGCTTGGGCGTTGCTGGCTACAATGTTCGAGTTGTCATTGATGTCGGAATGTGCGATTTGTGCATCGTGATTCCTAACGTCAAAAATTAAATTGGTAATTAACAGTCTGTACATGTGAGCTAACCGGACTCTCCTCGGCCCAGGTTTAGCTGGACGGTGTAGGGTTTAGGGCTTTATGCCAACCTGAAGGCAGATGCCAAATCCGGACCGAACATCGTGCCTGCACGTCCTACTGGGTTGTCCTCCAAAAGTTGCTCTCCCACAACCATATTTGTGATCCAAGAGGCAGCAGCGACAAACATAGACTGCAGCTCCTGCTGGAACTGGAATTGAAGGGGCGAGACGGACTTAACCGGTGCACCAACACAGTTGCAGAAGCCTGCTAGCGAGGCCTGCGTGAATAGACTGGGTTCTTTGCAACAAACATGTTCGGGAACTGCAGCATGAAACATGACCCTGGCTTTCTTCATTCAAGCCCCTATACTAACTCCTGATCTCCGAGCACAACACTATTGGATTTCCGTACATCCTCTGCCCTTTGCAGGATCTAAAGCGTAGCCTAAACCCAATCCCAAAATCCTAAACCCAAAGCCAGGAACCCAACCCTAAACACATGATCCTAGGTACCTTTCGGAGTTCTCTGTCGAAGAAGCTTCCGGGCGATTTGCGTAAGAGAACTCCCTTACAAGCCGACATTCCTTAACATATGGGGAAGTCTCTACATTACAGTTTTTTTTTTCTCAGGGTCCGCTTATAGGCGGGCCGTACTAGTGTGGGGAGACCCTAAGTGAAAGAACTCGCCGTATAGAATGAATAGACTAGGGTTCGGGATCTATCATAGTAGAACCAGGATAGGGCCTCGGAGGTAAATGGGATAATTCTCTGAACTAGGGTCCTTGTCTAGGTCCCCAGTATCGTACGGCACCCTCATAAAAAGGACCCTATAGCTAAAAGGGAACCTAATTAAGAAAAAACTAACCAAAGGGCTACGAGTACTAGTACTTCAGACCTCCACACCAAGTACCCGGTACTGGGCTCTGGGAACTTCTGTCCTTGTCGCTGACGTCGAGTCCAAGACCTCCGCCGACAGTGTTGACCGTTCCATGCGGCTTTGAACTCAAATTAGGGCTTGGGCTTAAGGGTTTGGGTTATAGGGTCTAGGGTTTAGGATCAAGGTTCAGGGATTCGGGTTTAGGGTATAAGGTTCATAAGCCGTTTCGTTCAGGGTCTACGGTTTGCCGCCATTAGGGTCTACGGTTTGCTGCCATTAGGGTTTAGATGGGCTTAGGGTTCGTGACTTGGCGCCCAGAAGCTCTTCTCTTCACCCCTTGCTGCAGACGCTGTGCTTGGAGGGCGGGGGACTTCTTATAAGTAGGTAGTATGTAGACTTTTAGGTACCCTAAAAGAGATCCTAATTGGGGCTGCGATACTTATAAGTCTATAACAAAAGTCCCCTGTATTGACGTGAGTATTCTATAGAGAGACTTTCTGTCAGGGGTCTATAAAGTAGAAACCTGATTGAGAAACAAGAATAAGGCTGGGGCTAAATGACCCGGGCAGGTGTGATTGAGGGACTTCTGACTCTGGAGCAGCCCCTAGATTTAATTTGAAAATACAACGGAAAAGAGACAACACCTCCAGTAAGCCGAAACCCCAAACTTGCCTCGGGACCCCATTCCGCGCAACCCTGCACAGAACCCAAGAGCCCCCCCTGTAAAACGGCTCAACAAAGCCCTGCAACACCCTATGCAGGGCTAACAAGTTCCCGAGCTCCTGCCTGTAAATACGGCTTGGAGCTCGGCCCTGTCAATGATGCCATCACCTCGCTGAGGGCACTATCAGACTGGAGCCACCCAAACTCAACGATCCCAAACCCAAAAAGCCCTACACCCGAACCCTGCCATAAGCCACCAAAGAGCCACGACATCCTGAAAATATATCAACCTACAGACAGAAACCTTGCACAAAACCTTGTAATACCTAATCAAACCGTACTAAAGCCTGTGCAAATCTTTGTCAAACCAGAAAAGACCTTACCAACTAACTTCGAGGGATTGCGGCACAAGGCCCGGAACCCTAAACCTTACGCCCTGAACTCTAAATTGTTCACGAGAGCCTCGGGATTTCCAGAGCGGAGGGTTCCGGGACCATGAGACTCTCAAGGCTATCCCTATACTTCGGCCTTCGAATGGTCCCCAAATAGGTACTTTAGGGCCAAAGTATACACTATAGACTATATGGTACCGTGTTTTGGCTTCAGGGTTCATAGGTTTAGGGCTTTATAGGGCTTGGTGTTCTAGGTTCAGGATGATGGGTTAAGGGGTTTGAACTTATGATGTAGAATGGTTGCAATGTAACCCCTAAACAAGCCTCCGTAACCCTAAACCCTGAACCCTCGAACCTGAATCCTAAACCCTGAACCCTAAATTCAGAGGATGCCAAGATGCCATTGGTGTCCCACTGCAAGAATGCTGCCATGACATTGGCGTGCTCCACATCCTCGTCATCAGCCATTGCCAAGAAATCGGCCTTCGACGGCGCAGGGCTTAGGATTACTGTGCTGTGGTTTTGCGTGTCGCGCACGCAACGGGGACTGGCACCCGAAAAACCCGAAACGTCGAACATTTGTGCTTTTTGTGTCAAGCGCAAAACGCGAAAAAAATTGGCGACAAGTCGATGCTTGATGTTGCTTTGTTTCAATCCAAAAACGCGAAAACTTGAAATTCCATTTTCTTGAATTTGCGAGTTTTCGAACTAACTCTTGCTTTGTTTCGTCTCAAAATATGCGAAAACTCGAAAAGTCGCATGTTCGGCTTTTTGAGTTTCCAAATTAACTGTTGAAAATCGAAGTTGCAGTTGTTGTCATAAGTGCATTCGCAGTGCCACCGTAATCGTGCTGGTCGTAGTACTAGCAGCAATAGTAACAAAATAGCGGCAGTAGTAGTGTTGGTAGTAGTGGTGATGGCGGTTGTGGTGGTAGTAGTAGTAGTAGTAGTAGTAGTAGTAGTAACAGTAGTAGTAGTAGTAGTAGTAGTAGTGGTGGTAGTAGTAGCAGCATCAGCAGCAGCAGCCGTAGTAGTAGCAATGGTAGTAGGAATAGTAGTCTGACGGTCAAATAAATAAATAAATAAATATATATATATATATATATATGTATGTATATACGTACGTATATAGATATATGAGTATGCTTGAGATTCTGATTTCCACCCGCCGGCCTTCGCCTCTTCCAGGGCCGCCTCCTCCTCTTGCGCTGCGCTCAGCGGCATGGCGGCCAGTCGTCCCGTCCGCAGCGCCCCAAAGGGATCCAACAGAGGTCAAGGCTTATGGGTTGGGGCTTTGGGCTTTGGGCTTTGGGTTTAGGATTTTCGGGCTTAGGGTTTTAGGGTTTCGGGTTTAGGGTTGGGCTCTGGGGTTTAGAGGGCTATAGGGTTCGTAGAGTTTAGGTATGGAACATCCCAAACTGTAGGGCCAGACGTATATACGACTGTTGAAGTTGCGGCTTCGGTCGGTGTTCTTCATTTGAGTAAGCGGTTGGGCCGTTCATGCGCGATGCGGGAAACCTTGGGTCAGATGTTCGACAGTTGGGGCTTTGCTTGTCGGGCTTACATATGCTCAATGATGAGGCGCTTCTTCCGGTGGCCGGGCTATGGATAAGTCACCGACTCTTGTCTCGGCTTTCGAGAACAGCTGCAAGCTTTGCGCAAAGTGCAAACCTCAAGAAACATGCTCGCTTTGAGCACGCATAGAATCGAGTCACATGTCACGTTGATCCTGTAAACTCCGATGCCAAATCATAGTCTCCGGGATAAATCGTTTAACCGCAGACTCAGTAGTGTCAAAATCACGTTCTGCGGTCACTAAACAGATCCTGCAGGTCCTGATGCCCCACCAACAAATCGCGAAGTGTCGATCCCACACATCCGACAGCAACGCTACGACACCGACGGCCAAGAAGGGGTAAGTAACTGATAAAACGTTGCCTGCGTTAAAAGCCTTGGCTGCAAAACCCCAAGACACTCTCGACAGCAAACTGCGATGCAGAACTGTATGTCTAGGGATGTGGATCCAGGGTTGAGAATGCGGTAGTGAGTGCAGATACTCGACTTACCAAGCAGACTGTCAAGAGTAGTTGACGTTGATAAGCCCCAAATACTAGGCAGCAATTGCAAGGCTGGAAAAGAAATAAAGTACCAGCCCTCCGCGTTCTGCGGACTACTAACAGGTGATGTCCCATGTCCAAGCTTAAGTGACCGGTGGTTATCCGAAAAGCCAAACCCTGAACCCTGAAACCTAAACTCTGAGCCGTATACCCTCCACCCTAAACTCCCTAAACCCTCAACCCTAAGCCCTGAACCCCACATCCTCCACCGTATAAACCCTATCGGTCCAGAACCGATGCCCCCCTTTTCCTTAACGGAGACCTCCAGTGGCTTCCGAGAAGGAGCGGCTCGGCGGAAACCTGCAGCTGCTCGAATTTCCTACTACTACTACTACTACTACTACTAGCCACCCCCGCCCCCTACCAACCACCTGGCGCCTCAATCCACAACCATCATCGATCATCATCATCCATCATCATCCTTCTTCATGCATGCATCATCATCATCATCACCATCATCAACCATCATCATATAAGAGGGTCCGCCATCGCGAAAGTACTGTAAATACCGAGTAAAACGGCTCTTGTGGAGATTGTTTGGGTGTCTGTGTTACCAATGTCGTCATCATCCCCCCGCCCCACCCCCCTCCCCCC